ACTGGTTCTTCGACGAACAGGAGATTCTCATTGATTTCTATTTCTTCAAGTGGAATGACGAGGGTTTCGTCGGATAAACACTTTTTCAAATTGGAAACATGGAACACGGGGTGTACACTGCTAAGCTCAGCGGGTACCTGCAGTCTATAAGCCACTGGACCGATTCGGGCAAGAATCTCGAAGGGTCCAATATATCGTGGGTTCAACTTTCCCCGTTTTCCAAAACGAATAACCCCTTTCCAGGGAGAGACCTTTAACAACACCCGATCCCCGACTTGGAACTCCAAGGGCTTTCGCCGCTTATCAGCGTAGCTCTTCTGTCGGTCTCGTGATGCTTGCAATCGAGCTCTGATTTGAATTATCTTCTCCGTTGTTTCGCGTATGGATCTTATCTTTTGTTATCTCCAAACTTTGATTATTCACATTCAGACTGTTTCTTATTTGATCGTAGTTATCAACAAGAAAATAACTCAATCTAGAAGGTAGGTTTTGGATGTTCACCCTAAGTAAAGATCCCAAACCCATATTCTTCACAACTACACGTTGTTCGTTAGATAAACTTTGTACAGCAATGCTCAATTTCTTTGGGGACATTTTACTCTTCAACTTAGGAAATCTTTCGAGAGATGGTGTTGAAGATTTGATTTTTATGGTTTTACCTTTCTTTGAGATCTTATTTCTCGGTGTCGATGTAGAAACATTCTCATTCTTATCGGATGATATTTGAAAAGTTAAATTTCCTTTAACACCGGGCAACCCACTCTTTTCAAAATTTCTTTTTATATTTGATTTTTTCATCCTCATTACTTATACCAGAACTACTTGAAATGGTTATCAATGATTATCGACGTCTTCGGATTGGATATTGATGTCAATATCTCTGCATTAACTAGTAATTATAAATTAATTGCACGACATTATAAAAACAATTACATAGATTATCTTTAATACTATAAACAAGTTGTTAGAATTACCTGATCGATATTGAATTGTTTCTTCATCAATTTGAATAGGACTGATATCTAAATCGATTATATTCGACATCAAACTTTTTTTTTTCAATCTGCCGCTGGAACGACGAGCTTCTACTAATTTCGAATCCATAATTGTCTTCGCATATTAACTTTTCGATATATTAAGGATATTATATTAGAATGTCATATTACGAATACATACAGTTGATAAAACTGAAAAAAAAGACGTGGGTAGTTTTTTTATAGATTTTCGGATTGACTATATATGATATGCAGATTCACTGCTTATGAAGATAGTGGGAAGTTATGTAGGAGTTATCTTGAATTTAAAATTTAAAAATTATATATACATAACTATGTATGATAAAATAAACCTACATATATTCAAGCTTGAATAAAACAAAAAATATCTTTTACTGTGTTAAAATATCTTTCTTTTCTTAATATAACATAATATTATTTATGTAAGTCATGTGATGATCAATTTCGTATATCTGATATGTTTTGGTTAATATAATAGTACGTCCTACTACTTGCTAGTGCTTCAAATAAGGAGAAAAAACCAAACACATAAGCAAATGGGCAGGTAATTCCACTCTAGTTTAAAATCAAGTCTTAAATTTCATCAACTGAAATCTGATAAATAAAAGCAACTACAATTATTCATCAAACTTTCAAAACAATACTAAATGAAAACAGACAATTCAAACAAATCATTCATTAACTAAACATTACTACTAAAAGCTACTAAATGCCTCTATGCTTCCAACAATGTTACATTATTTCAATTATCAAATCCTGCAATCCGATCTTCTTTTCTATTGTAAACTCTTAAAGTTACTCTTCAACCATTTTCACTCTTTCAACTTTGGACAACTTGTCAAAAGCTTCAGCTTCTTCAATGATTAAACTTTTTTGAAAGTTAAGATTTGATAACATCATCTTTGACATGTACTTTATCCTTAAATTTGCCAAGTAATTTTCGATTTTGGTTAGGTTTTCATCAAGGCCACAATCCCACTTCTTTTCAATTTGACCATAGTATGTCTCCATGTGCCTCATTAGATATATATCACAATCATAGTTTCTTTCCTTCTTCTTCCAATTGAAGTTTAAGACCACTGGTATTATATTGGGCAATTCTAATGCATTTTCATGACCCACATTCTGTAAATAAATAGAGAATAAACGTTGCTGTATAAAAGACATAACAAACTAACATCAGAATGTTACTTATACAGAATATATTAATTATAATAATGTAAAATATAAATAATAAAATATAATATGTACATTACCAAGATTCGAGGTTTGCTTCCATATGTTGATTCAATATCAGTATCACTTAATATATGATCAATGATAATGAAAGCAGGTTTTCTCAAATCGAAGCATATCAAATAATACTTGTCGTTATCACACATAGGAAACAATACCTGCATTCATCAAGTAACATATACCTCATAAATCATAATTATATTAGCTTTATGTTCATATCAATATAATATATATTTATTACCAGATGAATATTGCTGAAACAAGGTTTGATAGGGTAATTGGAACATAATTGATCCACTGTCATCTTAAAAGCATTGAACCTGTTAACCTCTAATATTATTTCATCAAGAATAGCATTTGACTACATTACAAATAAAAAAATCATTATTGAATATAGTAATACTAACTTCTGCTCAATTTTGTTTTTAAAGTAAAGAATTTACCAGTAACTTGGTATTGAAAAATAGCCTTGACGGTTCATTGAAGTCATTACAATTACGATGAACATTCAAGAATGATGGCCAACAATCAATCACATTTGAGGTAATTGTTACTTGTGGTATGAAGCTAAATCCATCGATAAGTCGCATTCTTTGAATTTCTTCTACCTCCCAGATCGTATCACTATATACTCATCATTCAACATGCATAAAAAAATCATATTAATAAATGCCATAGATATTGTGTATGAATAAGATAAAAGACTTACAAGACATTTCTCCTTGAAGCTATGGTTGAAAAGCATATAAGTATCTCCAGATCACTGATTTCAGTGTTAATGGATACTGTCTTACTCATATAGGGAGATACAAACAATCTCGACACCTTTTTTTGACTAAGACATGTTTCATATTGATTTTCCTCATATAGTTTCATCATAAACTCCAATCGGTTACTGACCCTACTTTTATTTAGAGTACTTTCTCCAGTAACTACATCAACATCTACCTCCGACTTCTCAGGAACATTATCATCAGCCTCCTCATCTGAAAGCAAATTAAATGAAGGCATTGAGTCTGAAAATTTAACTTTCTTCCTTGATCTGCTGCTTATGATTTCATCTGAATCAACTTCCTTCCCTGATCTGTTGTTTATGATTTCATCAGTTTCAGCCAATACTTCTGGCGTAAAAAAATCGTCAGAAAGTGACCCTTCATCTTCATGCATTAACTTTCTCTTGTTACTACTTTTCGGAGATCTGAAGATAAGATTTTCTTCTTTTGAATTTTGGCTTATTTCTTTTTGAAAATCCATATAACTTAAGTCATCAACATTCATGACTTGATTCTGTGTTGATACTGTATCAATCGACTGGAGGGTTATAACTTTATCTTTACGAGGCAACATATTTCCAATAGTCATCATCCAATAATTTAATTGTTCATTTCCTGGAAATTTGTACATTGTTTCACTTAGCGTTTTATACAGTTCACTCTTATCCTTTACAACCCGATTATATATTGCTTGAAGATTAATACAAACTTCCTGTATAATGAATAATAAATAAAACAAAATAAATTAATAATAATAATATACATATTCTGAGTAATAAATATTATTCAACCTGTTAAATGTTAAGTATGTAAAATTATAAGAGCTCATACAAAGAATTATATCTAGTAATATCGTCATCTACATAATAACTAAAAATGTACTGAATTGTATTAATATACCTCAACTGTATTCGACTCTGCTGTTATCTGCATATCAAATACTTCCTTGTTGGAGAGAAAAAAGTCTTCAACTGTATATATAAACTACATTTGTATTACTATGATTTTTGGTTACAATATACACAATGTTCTACGTTTTGAGCTATTTAAAATGTAACTTAACATTAACGATAAGCATTACTTACAAGATGTAAAATCAATACTGTTATGATCAGGTTGATTCTTTATTGATGAAACGCCATCGATTTGCAGCTTATCCATATCTTCAGCAATTTTATCTTCTGTAATGAAAACAATAATTGTTTCAGTTTAAAATTATATATGATGAAAACCGACTTCTGATTTTGTAGTATGTTATGTAAACGGTTATGGGAACGGTTATGTCATGAATAATAACTTCTACGATCTGCATTGCGTATGTAACACACAATACATTACGCAATTTTTTTTTCAATAATAAATAAATTTATTTCGCTTTAAAATGAAAGTAAATGTAGCACTTTAAAAAAAAGATACGAACATTCGCATTCTGTTAAATTCTTCTATTCATCTACCATTTCAAAGTCATCGCATAATTTCAGGAATTTACTAGTTATTTTTAAACAATATATATACTTCTTTACACTACTAGAAAATAGGTTTTCCTTGACCGACAATGTCTGTCGTAAATGTCTATACATGACAGACAAAAGTCTGTCATTGAAAGCCATGTCATAAAGGAAAATGACAAGCATTTGGCCTGTCATAAAATTTATAAAATTTACGACAGACCTTTATGACCAACAATTAAGACATACATATACGACATGTGTTTTCGACATACATTTACGACGGACTTTGTATGTCATAATTCGTAACATTTTTGTAATTATGACAGACATGTACGACTTCAAATTACGACATATGTTCTGTACAACATGATTTTCGACGTAGTTTTACGACATACTTTGTATGTCATGGTTTTACATTATATATATATATATATATATATATATATATATATTCTAAATTTCTACCAAATCTTAATCAAACTAAATTATACATTTAATGTCTAATAACGCAAAATAAAATATCATACATATATAAAAAGGCTTACACGAACTATAGTGACAAATTCAAAAAATACTTTCAAGATACATCAAAAAGTAATTGTCAAATACATATCATTGGTAAATAAAATTTATGCAAAAGGCCATTGCCAAAGCGGGGTCCTCAGAAAACGGTAACCTGGAGATCATTATGCAAAATTGAAAAAGACATGAATGCCCTTCTTATCTTTATCATCATCAAAAAGATGAGAAATTAACATTGATAAAGGTGAACATACACTTGTTGACTGAATATTGGTTTCTGAGAAGGTAAAAGTAAAGAGGAAAGCCCATCCATGATAGCTTTAATATACACAGGTAATTACTTGATATGCCTCACTTTCTGCATATGGAAAAAAACAAGGATTAATTCTTAGCAATAATATTATAATATGTTTTCATGTTATGAAGATATATTTTATTTTTACCTCCTGTGTGATGAAAAGTAACTGGAAGGATATTTTCTCATAATGATGGAAAGCCCTATCAGCAAGGGAAGGTGATATGATGTGGCGCATAGAGCCCCAAAATGTTGCACCCACGTGTGCAAGGAAAGTATCACGTGCAACTGTGTAATTGTGTAAGTTCTGGAAGATAGAAAAAGGTTTTTTAACTTCCATTTATAATGTGAGGGACCAACAATGAAATAAAAGATTTCTTTTTGGAACTAAACGAAAAGATCAACTAAGCACAGGGACCAGATCTGTAATTTAATCTATAGAAAAACTAAATATCTATTCAATCATTATAAAGTATAGACATATTGGTGTAGCTAATAAATATGTTTTTGGGAGAAATAAATTGCAGCTATATATTAACTGGTTCCATGGGTACACAAGTTATACCTGAAGAACTAATGCCCAATTATAAAGTGCATCATAATCATCTGGATTTCTTTCTATTGCACTTGCATACCTAAAAAAGAACAAGAAACAAACAAGTTAAGTTCTTTTTTCTTTCTTTTACTCCATTATTTTCTAGGATTCATCAAATTGTTTATACTTGTTTTTGAAATTGAAGTTCATACTACAACAGCTATGTTAGGATATATGGAGATTAAAAATATGCAGATTTAAAGATTGAATAGAAATATGCCAAGGGTAGAAGTGTAGCTAAGGATTGGGTATAAGAAAAGGGTTACCTTTTTGCTGCAAATGTTTGAATCCGTTGTCTTGATCGACCTTCCTCATCAGAACCTATTTTTTCTGTATGTTGTTTTGTGCTTTCTTGACTGAAAAATTCAAACATGTGGCAGAAAGAATAAGGGATATATTAACATTTCAGGTTTAGCAGGAACTGAGTTTGTGATCATGGGTAAACCACAGGGACCATTTATGTAATTCTGTCTAATTAAAATGTATAGATAATATGATGCATAACCAATGAAGTATACTGATAAGTATCATCAGTAAACAAATTCCAGCTCTCCATTGGTTTTAAAGCTTTTTGTTTATGGATTTCACCAGATTCATCACTTTCAAAAGACTGGAGCTCTGACTTTAGGTCACGCATTCTCTCATCAAGCTCTGTATCAAAACTTCCCAAAAGTGAACATTTGATAAAAGATTTAAAAAGTGGGAAAATATCAAGAATATAGAGGATAATAAATTAAGAAAAAAAATTACCTTCACAAAGAGCAAGTTTCACCCTTCTTCCCCAACAATGTTTGAAAGCAAAAAGCTCATATATATATATATATATATATATATATATATATATATATATATATATATATATATATATATCGATCTCTGCTAAAAGGATATCTATTGCTTGATGATCTTTCTACAAATTGAAGTTAAAAATATATTAGGCATATGATAATAAGGAGAGAATTGTCTTTTTGTTTTCATTTTTTATTTTTAATGCTCCTTTCACCGCTGTAATCCAACACATAACAGGATAAATAAATAAATAAAAACTTGTGTAAAGCATTCAACAGAGATTAATGTTCTCCAAAATGAAGAACATGATATTTGATAAGATTGTATAGTAGTTAGAATACATACATCCCCGAATGCAGCAAACTTCTCCTGAATTGCATCTTGCAAGTGATCTTCAGCCTCTTCTTCAGTAATTTCTTATATCAACAAGGAGAGAAAAATTAGTAAATAAGCATAATAACAAAGACAAATGCTACCTCATAATACTTCAGGAATTTGTTTATTGGTTTTTGAACAGCATGACTTATGGAATGATATCTAAACTGTATGAATGTGAGTACATGACCATTTTACCCTTCTGTTCAAAAGTGATGTTGAATAAATAACAAATGATTGTTTATTTAAAAACTGTTACAAATCTAAATTGTAGATAACTATTTATTTGATACATAGAAAATGATACAAATGCAATGAACACATAAAAACTCTCCCCTTATTTAACTCACTGAGCCATGTTCTATGAGCCCTTTATAAGTCTTAACTTTTGTGCTTCCAGTTACTTCTACCATTGGTTTTAAGTTAATCATGAGGTTGCTTATTGGGCTTAATCCATACATTTTAAGAAAATCTATTTCTTTTTGGAAATAATTAAACCTAATAATACCTGCAACTGCACCAATTGTCTTTTTAAAAATTAAACTAATTAGGAAATCTAGGACAAATTGCTTGAGCATGTACATACACTGTGCAGACTGCAAGCGTATTAATGATTTAGCAAATTGTTTGCTAGTATCAGCTACATACAAAACTCATTTTGCATAACTGAAATACAATGTATTTCCTTTAAAACTGAATTGGATAATGAATTAAATGAACAAGTATTTGAGTAGAATGTTTAATGTTGTAAGTTTATTCAAGATTAAACAACCAATCTAAATCTAGAGTGTAGATGAATAGATAATACTTACAACTCCGTTTGCAGTTGTGGTTGAAACAAAAAAAAATCTGATCCGATATGCAGTCTCTTGTTAACAGATCTACGCACAGAACAGAAACAGTAACACATTCAAAGTCGCACAATCTTAGGGACGATACTAAAAAATGGAGATTCGAAGGTGTAGATAAAGATTAATAAACAAACCAGAGTATTGAAATTAGTTAAATTACCTTTCGCTTTTTTGCCAATATCGGAGAAGAGTCCTGGTCCGTTGTTCATCTTTGTTGCAGAAGGATTTCAAATTTCAATCGAATGATGAATCTGATATCAGATTGAAATTGTATTGGGAAAGAATGTTACCTCTCAATATATAACAGAGTAGCAACAGGTTGACCGGTATCAGAAATGGCGATGATGAAGAATGATATCACGAATCGGTGGCAGGCAATAGCGTGACCGGTGAGGCAGTGTCAAGTCGGCGACTGGTGAAACGAGGACGAAAATGGTGAGGAAGTTGATTTCTTGAGCTGAGCAAACCCTAATCGACCGACGTTTGCTTTGATTTGACGAAAATGGTGAGGCAGCGAGATGATTTGAGGGTATCAGTAGTACCGAGGCTTCGAGGGAATTGTTGAAGAAAGAAATCGTATAATTTGGATAAAAGTCTAATCGTATGTTATAATCGTATCGTATTAAGGTATAAGCGCCACCAAAAACTTCTGACAATACTACCTTTTTATTTCCCTTTCAGTCCTTAAATACCATGAATCTGAATTTCATCCTCCATTTTTATAATACCTTTTTTTCTTTACCTATTTTACCTATTTTAAATAGATAGTTAATAACATTACCTGACATTGACCTTATCTAATTAATATAAAATATCCTTTGGAAATGAAATTTAAACGTCATTTTAATATATTCAGCCCATTTTTTTTAACTTTTAACGCCATTTTAATATTTTGTTTGCCATTATTTTTTTTAACTAATATAGAATATTCTTTGGAAATGAAATATGTTTCTAAATAGATAAAATAGTCATTTGGTATTTTCTTAATGCAAAAATATGTTTACAGACTATAAATAATAAGTTGAAATATCACTATACAAATTGTTAAGAAATTCATTTTATGTTTTTTTTTATCAAAGACAAGCGACTTTAATTTATCCCATAAATATAAATCATCAACCATATATTTAAATTATCAATTTCGAATTTACATTGTTAAAAAAACATACAATTATTTCTTTTCTTCCTTACATCTTTTACCAGATAACGGCTATATATATTTTCTACCGAACTTCATCAAAAATACCTTATATTTAATATTATCCATCTAAATAGCGTCTATATAATTAAAATTATTGCAAGATTTATCTGGATTTGTAACATACACTTTACTAAACTTGTTCAATTATCATGTTTCATATGCATGTTAGTTTAAAAATGAATATTATTAGATATTATGTGGTATTAAACGTTTAAAGTAGGTAGTTATAATGGAATAAAATTATATGTGTTAAAAACACCATTTTTCGATATGGTTTTGAGCGTCGAGTTATAACGAAATAGTTTTATAAGATTTGAAGTTAAACTAAGTTTAGAATCATTTGGAAGGTATTGGAAGTGATGGGGATGTCTTATGTGATTTCGATCAAAAAGTCAACTATCGGAATTAACGAAAGTATAACGTCTAAGTTGGAAATAAGTAAAACTGATTTTATTGGAAGATCTTTTCTGGGATATTTTTATTGGAAGTTGTAAATAATCTCGTTAGAAACGTATAGACAAAAACCTCATCGAAAACGGAGTTCCGAGCGAAAAGTTATGCAATTTTTAGTGTTTAGGGGTAAAACGGGTACCCAAACCGGGTCAAACCCGACCCAACTCGGGTTTTTACCCATTGAAACACGACTTTGAGTCATTTTTCTGCCATTTTCAGTTCCTTACCATCCCTATGGGAGATTTTCACACACATGATCAATCGTGAACAACTTTTGAAGATTAAATCAAGATTTTGAGTGTTCTTGAAATATCAAGTCTAGTAATCAAGGTATGAACTCTTAATTTTTGGATTAACCCTTGTAATTAGTGAGTTATTAAGATATTAGGGTTTAATCAAAGTGGGTTTACCACTGATTTCATGAAATTAGGCATGAGTTTATGTTATTAACCTAAAATCTTAAATGGAAATCAAGTAACTACATGTAAACTTGAGCATTAATCATGGTTTAAGAGTAATTAGTGAAAATTAGTAATGAAACTCATGGTTTATACTTGAATTAGCATGAATTACTAAAATATTCAGTGTTATCATTGTAAAACAAGAACTTAGTGATATTGATCATGAGGTTTGATCATGTAAAGGGTAAAATGAAATCATAAAGGGTATAATTGTCCTGTTTTTGTAAAAATCACCAAAAATTGTAGAAAAATCGTATGGATATGTGCTCTATATCCCTGGAAAGATGAGAATGTGTAATTTGATTTTTGTTTTAAAACAAAAATTTAATTCCGGACTTAAGATGGGTGAAAACATCTATATGTTCAGTGCAGTAAGGCTGAATTTTGACAGCTTTGTGACATTTTGACAGCTTTGGGATGTTGTGATGTAAAATTCATAGTAAATTATAGAAAAATCATAAAAATGTGAGGTCAGTGGCATTAGATAGATATAAGAGTATATTTTGTTAATATTTAGAATTTGTTAGTTATTTTGATATTTAAGAAGGGTAAAACAGATCTGCAAGTGACAGCTATACAAAGAACAAAAACTAAAATTTCCAAATTGAAAACAACATAACTTGAGATTAGTTGAGTAATTGCTTATGAAATCTGAAATATGAACTCCAGGGGTATAATTGAAGGTTTTAGAGGCCTGAGGATGGTGTAATTTCATCAGAATTCAGAATTCTATCGCAACATTCGATTACAACACATTGAGTTCAATATATAGGAACAATTGTATGTTATGTGTTATATGTGCTTTGTGCTTTTCCGTTGTTATTATTTCCGCTATTTTGATAGCAAAGTTATACCTTTGACCATGTGATCAGTGAAAGAACTTAGATTCACGATGGTACTGGTATGAAGCCTCTGGCCATGTAGAGCATATCTCGTAAGAGAATGACTTCTATTCTATGGTATTGGCAGAAGGTTAGACAGGGCGTGAAAACCTGAAATCTACCTTAATGTTAATCAGAAATTGTTTGTCTTCAGTGCCATTTGGGCCGAAGCTTTATTGATGTTTATCAAGTATTGAAATTGTTATATCTCATTGACTGTATATCTTTGAATCGAGTCATTGATTGATATGAAAAGCTTGTCACATGATTTCTCATATGCCTTTGTTGTTCCTCTTTGCTTCTGCCATATTGATGTATATATATGGCATAACGTTATATTGTATCTATTATTGACCTCACTAAGTATCACCGCTTACCCCTCTCAATGTTTAACAATTGTAGGAAATAAATAAGCAGTATGGTAGTATACTGTTGGAAGATTTAGAATAGTTTGTAATAGTATTTTTGTATTTCGGTTTATGTTTGTATAAAATTACAATATCCTGGGTAGTTATGTAAAAAATTAAAACTTAGTCGGTTTGTATCCAGTCGTTTGTAAACAAGTTATCAATGTAAAATATTATTTGTGAATATGCATGTAGCATGTTTTGGAGTAATAATGTAGAATTTATGAAAGTGTGGGTCTTTCAGGGTTTAATTTTAATTTTCAAAAACATTTCTTTATCTTATAATTATCTTACATTATATATCATTTTATTTTCAATTTTTTCTTATAGTATTAACGGAAAAAAAATAATTTAATTTACTCTTGAAATATGACATATATTTACGACAGACATTTTTGTCTGTCGTAAATCATTGATATCTTATGATATATGACATAAATTCTATGACAGACTTGTACGCCTGTCATAAAACTGCTGTATGTCGTAATTCGTCTGTCAAGAAAAGCCTTTTTTCTAGTAGTGTTACCTCAATAGATAATGGAATACGTTAGTAGTTTATTTGAAAATGTCAAACAAATATATAGCATCACATCATGAATAACTTATATATATATATATATATATATATATATATATATATATATATATATATATAAAAAATAGGTTATAATTATGTTCAAATTTTTTATTATATAGACAAAAAAAACATTAAATGTCAACATAATAAAACGCAACGTATTTCAGATTGTAAATAAAGTCATATGAATCTGATAAATATAAAAGAAAAACTTTACAATTACATTTTGAAACACTTCTTCGTATATATTATTTGACGTTTTGTTATTTGACATTTTATTGGTTAAACTACAATTTTTATCTAAAATCAATAACTTCAATCATTATATGCTCATTTTTTCTGGATAAAGCAATTGTTGTCCCTCGCGGAGCGAGAATCAACATTTAGTCCCAATATGTTTTATTTCACTTTATGTAAATAACTGAAATACTCCTTTGTGTGTAAATTGCGGTTACCATCTGATGCAACGTATGGTTCATTGGCTACTTGAATTGCTACTCCTGATATTTATCAAGTTATAGTGGGGCCTGAAGTATAATTTGTATTATTAGCAACTAATTGCTATGGGATTACATTAAAACGCTCAATCTCACATATTTCACATACCTTTCTTTTCTCATTTTCAAGACTCAATGTCTGACTTTTTTTAGCTTCAAGTCGGATACGGTGAACTTTGTTGAAGCTATGCTTTTGATGAAGATGGAAAACCATCATATATTTATCATATATTTATTACTAAGCACTTTGTATGTATATACTTCTTTAAAAAATAAACTTTAATGATGAATCATTAATTTTGAAAACTAAAATTAAACAATAATAATTTATTATGTAACAATTTGGTTCATCATGATTCAAGAAAATCCTCATCATCTAAGAGAAATTCAAAGATAGAATTTGAAGATCATCAAGACGTTCAGTAATTTGTGCCAAATGTTATGTTTCATGACAAAAAAAAATTGTCCTTATGAGAAAAGATTTTAATACGTAAAACTAGTTTTTGAATTATACTTTGTATTGCGAAATATTTCAATTTATTGAATGTAATAATTAAATGTAATTTGATAAGTTTTTGCTTGATTATTGATTGTGTTTATAATACTTTATCTTCAAAAGTACATCTTAAATCTATATGTTTAAAATATTATATAAATAACGTCGCAGTGATATAATAGCAATGTGGATTAAATATATTGTGGTAGCCAAACTGAATAGCATTTAACAGATTAGCCAAACTGAAAAGAATTTGTCAGGTGATAGGTTGCATATATGGCATACCTGTGTTTAATGTAGCCGTATGTGCATGATTTGTTGTGTCAGCAAGCTATATAGTAGTAATAAATGTTCATCCAAGCACCTAGTAATGGATACAATGAAGTATTCGAAAAAAACGAACGGATATATATGATTATGGTAGTGGTTATAGTTATTATATTGGAGTTTTAGTAAACAACTACAACAAAGACATTAATTGTGATAAAATACATACACCAACATACACAAATATTCCGTAATATTCAAATAATATAATGATAAGCTAATTTTTTTATCTTAACGAGGCAGTTTCTCTTGTCATGTAGCAATTTGATTACATAATCGACACTTTCTTCTCGGCTTACATACTTGAAACATATGTGATGATGGTAAAAAAAAAACTAAAAGTGGATTAAATATATTCTGGTAGCCAAACTGATTAGCATTTAAAAACTACATATGTATTCACATTTAATTAGTAAATAACTACAACAAAAACATTAACTGTTATAAAATACATACACCAACATACAATTACATTTTGAAACACTTCTTCGTATATATTATGTTCAAATAGAAATCTTCGAAAACTAATAGGCTTGTTTGCTTCAAAACAATATGAATCTTCAACAAACATAAGTTGTGCATCTTTTAACTCCCATATGGTTTCCCTGTAAAATTATTAAAGAAAAATATTAGTTAATATTAAAATAAAAATTCTGATAATATTATAACATTTGCATTACCGAAGATTTCTATTTGAACATAATATTGACTTGCAAATATCAACTTCCATATCAGTAATCTTGTTTCTAATTGAAACTATGCTATTCATATACGGAGAACAAAAAGTAGAAGCTGAACTGCAAATATCAATTCGTGTTCCTGTAGAATTTTCATCCATGAATTGGAGTTTCTTTTTGGTACTTCTGTATATGATTTCATCTATTTCCTTTAATACTCCTGGGCTAAAGAAACTATCTGAAGGAGAAAATTCAATTCCAGAACATTTTTCACTTTTTCCTGAAGGTTTGGGTGTGCTGATGTGATTATAATCACACAATTGATCTTCTTCACCTACATCAATCAATTTATAAGAATAATTCAACGAAAACATGAAAATACTAGAGTTTACTATAGTATATTCATCAATTTGTTATTTACAAATGGACAATTTATATATAATGATGTGCACACATCCAACAATTTGTTAATCATATGAACTCAAATGACCAATTACTAAAGACATACCATCAAATACTTTGACAATAGCATCCCTCTGCGTAGATATCGAAGACTGTCCACTATCCATCGATAATAAATATCATAATCTAAGAAGATTTACAATATTTAAACAACCGTTAATTAAAGCCTAAGAAAATTTACTAAATCACATAATCTAAGAATGACAAACGACAAGTTTCACAAAATACACAAACTAAAAAAATCAGATAGCATACTAGTTGCAGATGTGTATCCAAAAAACAATATAAAAACAATAAATTTCACGTTAGCGTCATAATGATACAATAAGTTCTATTTATAAATTTTGATGAAAAAATTATCAAGAACTGCTTGACAGATAAGGCATACAAGCCTAACATATCACTATCTGGTACATATTCTAATCAAGAAAACAATTAACAAATTGTCTCCTTCCTAATTAACAGTATAATCAGGTAAAAACGTACACATCAAACTCCATAAATCAACATTAAGAAGATATTATTTTTAAAAACAAAAGTTAGCAAAGAATCAAACTTCAATCATTCATAAAATGCTTAACTTCATGACATCTTTCTGATCCAAATTGTTAGTTGGTTTCTTCAGCTTGAACAAAATATTTGTTTTTGTTTAATCTCTATTAAGCTCCATCCTAACATAACTATTTATCTTACCATCTAGAAATTGGGATTCCCATAAATGCCAAATTGGATAAGAAATAGGGAATCGTATTATAGTTTCCACTTCACAATCTTACTTTTGTAAACCAAATTTGATAAAGAATTGACACTCAATTAAGTTATCGATTTACAAAATTCAAATTGACCACTTTTGATGATGGTAAATTATCGATTAAGAACTGAGAATCGGCTAACATCAAAGAAGTGAGAATTGATTGAGAGTAGATAAATAAAACACCTTTAAGAAGCTATTGATAGATCATCAATGCCGAAACAACTGTGCAAACGTCGGGATGGGGAGATACAGTGTCGTGGGGGTCGTCCGGAGAAGGATAGAAGGAGAAATAACCAATCCCCCCAAAATCATAACCGATCCCGCTCAATTCTCTATCAGATCATAAATTGGGCGGGTATATCTTTTGGTATTTGCTGCCTATTGACCTCAATCAACGATTACACATGTAACACACAACCGATCCCCCCAAAAATCATAACCGATCCCGCTCAATTCTCTATTAGATCATAAAATCGGCGCGTATATCTTCTCGTATTTGCCGCCTATTGACCTCAATCGACGACTACACATGTAACACACAACCGATCCCCCCAAAAATCATAACCGATCCCGCCTCTTAACGAAAATCGTCCAGTATAATGTTTTAGGGTTTACGCCTCTAATCGATCGATTTACTTTGATACCCTTTAAACCATTATTTATAAATTAATTAATTAATTACATGTATCAAATTCTAATTGGTCCTCACTTGATGCCCTAATTCCTTATTTTCCAAAGAACCCGTTCCTATAAGGGAAGAGTTAGGTGGAAAATGAATATTAGGGTAAAACATCACTTTAAAGTAATTTAATGAAATCATCCTTATAATTTGGTTATAATTACACTTTCGGTCCCTACCACCTTTCTTTATAATTTATATATTAACCAATAATATTAACCGTTCCAAATTCCTACAATTAATACGATTTCCAAATTCTAGATTTCATTATCTTCACGGTTACAGTCGGACGCCATAGTCGGAGATACGTGAAGCCGCCGCGTCGGAACCACCAGACGATGTCACCGCCGCCTCCGGAGCTACCATCTGCTGCTACCAGAATCATTAGAACTATCGAACCACCATTATTACGTTCTAATCGTCCCTTTGTCTCCCATCTCCATGCTTAACCTCACTCCGCCTCTCTCCTTTCTTGAAGACACCACCCCGGACCACCCATTGAACCTTGTACCTCCATTGTAATCGCTCCCTAATGTTGCAAAGACAGTGTCGAAAAGTCGCATTTCAAGATGTCTAGTTTCGGCCATCTATATCGTTTTAGATCTGTCGTTTCGGCGTCAAAATCATAGCCGATTTGTGATTATAGATCTAGAAAAAGAAAAACCGACGGCGGTGGTTCGGTGGTTCCATATTTCATTTCCGATCTGAGGGCTTTGAGAAAAACCGAACGATGAAGACATGGGGCTTAGGGTGAATCATGAACGTGACAGTGGTTGGGGTCTGAGGCTTTGAACCGATTATCACATTATAAAATATCATTCATTCGCATTTTCTGGTTTCCAAAAATCAGATAATCTTTCTTCTTTAGATTTCTGTTGGGGAATCATCAAATTCTGCACCACCAACATCGGAAAAAAAAAGTCAAGCAAAATATCTTATTGTGAAACTGAATGTGAAACTGAAACTAGAACTGCAATTCCTGATGTTGCATCCATCACCGCATTCATGAACCAAGTTGCAGGACTTGTTGAGTATGCTAATTTCCTTTTTTTTTCTTATACATATATTTTCTTAAATTAATTTGGGGCAGTGGGTAGTGGGTGTAAATTGAAATTATTATCATTTTATGTTCAGGCTAGTGGATTTGAGAGATATAATGGAGTTGTAGCTAAAACAAGAAGATTGCGAGGTGATTATAAGAAAAAAAGAAGCTTTAGCCCCTCCTCCTGCACCTCTTATGATGATGATGCAAATCATCACAACCACCACAACAACCTATGTATTATTCACAACCACCGCCACCACCACAGGCGTATACTCCTATTTATTTGTTTGTTAGAGTTTTGTACCTTAAAAAACCTATCCAATTATAGAAATGTCATCCTATTTATTAACAAAGCAATTATTATAACTGCCATAATTGTGTTTGCAGATGGATTTTAGTCCAAACTACGAGGCTGTTTTCAGGGAAATTGAACAACTTAAAGTTTGTTTGGATAAAGCTTTGCTATATGAGTCATATGCATTGTTCTTGGAAGCAAAGGGAATGATGAATGAGGCTCATTTTGTGTATCAGTCAGGCATTTCAAGGTCCTTACAATCTTCTCCTCTTTATATCATATCTATGTCTAATCTTATGACCAAGGGGTTGTAATTTTTTATAATTTAAAATTAATTTGTTATTCTCTCTTGATGGTTTTCATTGCTAATGGGTATAGTGTCAAGTTTTGTTATAGGAATGCTGAACCAATAGAGAAGTTGAAGAAGGCACATGCCTATTTTCTTGAGAGAATGCAAGCAATAATAAATGCTTGTTCACATAAGAAGGTATCTATGATATGATGCTTGAAACAATTTTTTCTTTTTTCTTTTTTCTTTTTATTATTAGTTTGCTCTTCAAATATGGTTATAATATTTAACAATGTCAATTATGGTTATTTGAAGGTGGATGGAGGATCCCCTCTTAACAGTGGTTCAAATTGTATAAATCCATGATCAATCTCTACTCTTAACAATCATTGCAAAAGATGAATGCTCAAATCTCAAAATACACAGTAAGAAACTTTGGTCATTCATTGTTGGATGTTATAACCTATAAGCACTGGATTTTTTTTTCACTAGCCGTTTTTTACATATGTCAGGGATACCATGAAAGTAATAAATGTTATTCAGGGAAAGTGGCATTATCATCTTTGCTGAAGTCGGCTAGGAATAAGGTTATTGAGATAGGTAATGTTACTTTTGCTTACATCAAACATCGGCTTTGAAGGATTCCAACAGAATTAAATTCCTTCCATTTGGCAACCAAATACACCACATAATGGAATCTTGAATTCCTACTCTATTGGATTCCACAAATCAAACACAACCATAGAGAGATTCTTGTCTTTGTAATTGATGATGATAATCCTCTCACAGGTGGAAAGAAGTATCAGATCAAGGGATGTGCTGGTAAGGGTGGATTTGCACAAGTATACAAGGCATCTATCAACAATAATGCAGATGACATTGTTGCTTTGAAGGTGGTTGAATATATTAATCTGGTTAATTGCAAGAAATAACAATGCACTTTCATGTATTTGTTTATTATACTATCCTACTTTAATTTCTTCCTATTACAACATTGTACTTTAAAAAAGCTGCCCAATTATAGCAATGTCATTTAAATACAAAGCACTTTTCACTGCTATAATAAGAAAAAGTTAAAACTACAATGCTATAATTGGGTAGATTTTCTGTAGTACAATGCGTTGATAAGAATAAAGTTGAAAGTAGGATGTTACAATAAACAAATAAATAAAAGTATATAGATATTTAGTGCATTTATCCTTACAGTAGTTAATTTTTTTCCATAACTAGACTTGAGGATTGATTTCTAACATTTAAGACTTTTGCAGATACAAAAGCCTCCATTCCCATGGGCATTCTACATGTATCGCCAACTTGATAAGAGGATCCCAGAAAATGAAGTATGTGCTTATGTTCTTATTTTATTATTTATGAGTAAATGCAAATAACAATGTACTCTGATTTGTTTGTGTATTATAGCATCTTACTTTTGTTTCTTTTTATCACTTTCAATTTTTTTCTTATTAAGACATTATATTTTGAAAAATTTACCCAATTATAGCAGTGAAAACTGCTTTGCATTTTGATGATATTGTTATAATTGGTTAGATTTTTTAAAATATAATGTTGTATTAGGAAGAAAATGGAAGTAGGATGTTATAATAAACAAACTAATGAAAGTATGTTGTTGTTTCTTGCATTTACCCATCTTTATTTATCATTTGGGTAGGCAACTGCTGCTTAACTTCAGTTGTTCTTTATAGAGATTGTCTTTTGGATATGCTCATAAATTGCACCTCTATTCAGACTACAACATTCTTGTTTCAGATTTTTTATCCCATGGAACGCTTCAGGTGAGTTTAGGCATCACCGCCAACATTACCTCCCCCAGCAAAGCCAAAATCCTCCCGTCCTCCTCCATGGTTGGAACCTTCTATCGCGCCCTTGCACTAGGAGCTCCCGCTTTTGTTAAGGTATTAACCTTTCCACCTGCATTCACATACCAACAAAAATACATCTACGTAAAACATCAACATTGGTAAAATTATAAAAGAAAATATTTAGAAAAATTGAAAGATGATAACATTGTTCCTTTTGGCATTGCTTGTTAAACTGAACAAGACATGACAGATGGCATTCAACAGATGTCAACTTTTTGTTCCATACAAAAATGTGGGGCAAAGACTTGGTTATTGGTATGTTATCTGTCGCATTTATTGAAAATAATCTTATTGTTTCTTGATTTTGAAGTGGAAGTGATGTGAAGATATTTGGTGTATTTTTATTACCAGGTGGGAGACAAGGTTCGGAAAGGTCAAGTAATATGTATTATTGAAGCAATGAAGTTGATGAATGAGATTGAGGTAATTCAGTCTCTTTCATAATTTTGATAATTTCTTACCACCCTAAATCTTAATTATGACCTGTCAAAGAGCTATTGAGTACAACAAGATAAAAATTGTCATAGATGAATGAATCTATTTTATTTTAACTGTTTAGATAGCCAGCTAATTAAGATTTTGTAAGAATGTTTTCCCCTCATTGTCCAAGTGTTTTTGATGTGTATGTGAATTATTATGTTATTCTGTTAGACTGATCAATCAGGAACAATAGTTGATATTATTGTTGATGATGGGAAACCAGTTAGCCTGGATATGATCTCTCTCTCTCTCTCACACACACACACACATATGCACACACAAATTTACGTTTTAAATTGAACCAATTTACTAAAACATGGTTTGTTTGTTGTTTGCAGCCTTTGCTTGTTATTGAACCATGAAGAGGAAGTGGAACATTATGAAGTTGGGAGATGAAAGTCATGTGTCAAGATGGAAGTTAGAGTTTGTGTTTCTTTTTTTAAGGAAAGGGCGTTGGTAATTGTGAAAAATTGGTTTTGTAAGCCCAAATTTTAAAATAACACATTAATTGTAAGAAAAATATACTTTTATTTCAAGTAATTGTGTTGTGTCTCTCACTTCTTCTACTTGGTTTATAAATGTGAGTTTTTGTATCATTAGCATATTATGAACTGGGTTCAGTTTGTAATTTAGGAGAAATGCCATTGTTTTCTGTTTTTCTATCTGTTATGTTTATAAAGAAAGCAAAAGACAGGATCAAAAATGGGAATTTTGTAATCCGTCAAAGTTGTTTTTAACGTTTTCTTTTTCAAAAGTTTAGCTAATTAATGTATTAATGTGATGAAAGAAGCTATGCTTTACTGTTTCCGTTTTAACTTTTAACTAACATTTTTAATTTGCATCTGCTTGACCTTGCTTTTAGATACAACAAAAGGACATCGGACTATCTTAAGTACATAGTTTGAATATGTTTTCAATCCTTTGTGGGATTCATTAAACACCTATAATAACACCATTTATTATAGACTAGTGTTTCTAAAGAAAGAAAGAAAACATAACAAGTTTCAGTTTTAATACAAACCAGAACATGGAATAATGTCTCACAACAGTAACTATCGAAATACAGAAAAAAAACATTCCAAGTAAAACCTTGAATCACTAGGTAGGGTGTAAAGTAAAGTGAGTCAAGACCTCAAGTCGTCTTCACTCCTGGTCGGTCAGGGATTAAGTAATTTGCCACCATTCCCATAACATCAAACCTATTAAATAACACAACAATATCAGACTTTATATATGCCATATGCAACATAACAGATTGCAACTCACGGATGAAGATAACACACAACATAACTCATTGCTTTTATATAGATATGTAATGTAATGGACTTAACATAAATCCTGTTGAGATCTGTTTTAAGTCAGTCTCTATATTCCTCATGTTTGCAAGTGAATAAGCATAGAATATCAGAGCAATCCATGAACCAAGCTTGTACTGCAAACATACATACACCACCAGATCCTTCGGACGCTATAGCCGGAGACACCTAAAGCCACCGCGTCGGAACCACTAGAAGATGCCATCACCGCCTCCGGAGCCACCATCTGCTGCTAGCAGAATCATTAAAACCATCAGACCACCATTATTACGTTATAATCATCCATTTGTCTCTCATCTCCATGCTTAACCTCACTTCGCCTTTCTCCCTACTTGAAGAGACCGCCTTGAACCACCCATTGAACCTCGTACCTCCATTGTAATCGCTCCCTCCTCAGTAATTTTTGTGTTTTGACCATTTTAGGTTCTTGGTGTTTTTGGCCAAAATTCTAGTATTTTCTCAAATCGATGCTTAAACAATCAATTGAATCTGGTTTTTTGATCTCATACGGTTGTCGATTCTCAGGGATAGATCGATTTTAATGTTGGTCTTGATTAGAATCAATTTTTGGTCTCGATTCTCAAGGATAGATCGATAATGCCCTGAACTCAAAATCTCCATCTAAAAATCATTTATGTTATTGGTTATAAGTTGTTTGTCGAATGGAATGATTAGGTTAGATTTCGTTTGAGAGGCAGATTCATAAAAACGGATGCTCTTGGGTTGTTCAATGATGATGATGATGATGTCTAGAATGCCTTTGAACTCCTCTTAGGGTTGATGATGGATAAACACCAACAAGCAACCCCACTCACCCACACCCTTTCGTTTTCCTCTACCTTCCCGTTAACCTCCAACATCATTAATCTCCTACAATCATCACCGATAACCACCTGGACCAAAACAAAATCTATACTAAAAGTGAAACCTCCAGAAATCAAATCCCTATATCAAAATGTAACCAATTTCAATTCATGTAATCCTGAAATCAGAATCTTAAATGAAATAAAAACTAATGTTTGGAAAGAATGAATGGTTTTGGAGAAAAAGTGATAAATATGAAGATCGTATATTTTGAAAATAAATGCAAATTATCTTTCAATCTATGGATTTGGGGTATCAGCAATTTGTGGAGAAATCAATCAGTAAGTATCAGATTCCCAAAATGCTAAACTAAATGGTTCAATTCAACAAAACGAATTTAACAGATGATTTAGAGATGAAAGAAAAAAAACGAGAACAAACTGGAACTGATTTTTGAAATTAACAGATGATTTAGAGATGAAAGAAAAAAATCGATTGATTAAGAAAACTACCTCGATGATAAAATTCGTTTTACATTTTCTGGAAATCGATGATTAGATGCAAAAAACGAAGCCGGTGCATTGTAGCCGGAGAGGCTGATATGTGTGCGCTGTAG